GTGAATTCATCAACAAACAACACAAAGTATTTATTCCCTCCAATTGATGCTACTGGAAATGGACCACACACATCAGAATGTACAACTCCCAAGGCATGTTTTGCTCTTGGAGTAGCTTCTGACGCAAATGGCAATCGTGGTTGTTTTCCTTCCATGAAAACTTTGCACGACTTTTCAGGCTTCTTAATTGCAAGAATTCCATGTACCAACTTCTTTGAATTCAGATGTTTTAAGCTTCTGAAATTCAAATGACCAAATCTTCTGTGCCACAGCTCACCCTCCTTCTCAACATTTGTTGCACTAAGACATTCTGAGTCTGCAGTTCTGACATTCACCTTGAATGTTCTATTCCTTCCCTGTTCTGACTCCATAATCAACTTTTGATTGCAGTCATACAGCTTCAGAAGATTGTCCTTCATGGTAACTGAAAAACCTTTCTCAATTAATTGTCCCACACTCATCAGATTGCTTCTGATGCCAGGTACATACCACACGTTCTGAATCAATGTTGTTTTTCCATTGTTCAGAATCACTCTGACATTTCCCATACCTTTTGCATTAAGATATTTGTCATCAGCACATCTGATTTTTGTTCTCTTTTCAGAGTCAAAGTCAACCAGCCATTTCTTGTTTCCAGTAAGATGATTTGAACAGCCAGTGTCCATATACCACCAGTCTATTAGATCCATATTATCATATTCAGAGGCCATCAATAGCACAGATTTGTCATCAGAACTTCTGGCTATATTTGCTTCTTCTAATTTTCTCTCCTTGTTTGACCAACAATCTCTAGCAAAGTGACCAAACTTCTTACAACAGTAACATTGGATCTTCTTCTTGTCATACTTCTCTTTTCCCTTCTGAGCATTCTTTTGTCTATCAGAGGTTGAGCTTTCTGTCTTCTGACCACCATCAGATCTTCTCCTGGCTTCTGACTGCTTCTGATACCTCCTATCAGAAGTTGCTTTCAGAGCCTGCTGCTCTACTTCCTTTTCAGAGGTTCTCTCAGTCAAACGCAACTCTTGCGCTTCTAGACTGCTCTGCAGCTCTTCAATTCTCATGGTGCTCAGATCTTTGGAATGTTCTATTGCTACCACAATGTAATCAAATTGAGGGGTAAGGGATCTCAATACTTTCTCCATGATTGCTTCTTCAGAAAGAGTTTCTCCACACGCCTTCATCTCATTAGTGATCAGAATCATTCTGGAGATGTATTCAGAGACTTTCTCATTATTCTTCATGTTGAGATTCTCATATTGCTTTCTCAAGGACTGAAGTTTCACCTTCTTCACTGATGCGTCACCACCATAACATCTCACTAGTGTGTCCCACGCAGCCTTTGTTGTCGTTGAATCTGCAATCTTCTCAAACACATTTACATCCACACATTGATGAATGAAGAACAATGCTTTCTGATTCTTCTTCCTTACTTTCTTCTGCGCGTTTTTCTGTTCATCTGTTGCATTTGCTGCTACTGGAACATAACCATCAGTGACAAGATCTAGAACATCTTAAGCACCAAACAGTACACGCATTTGGATCATCCAATGATTCCAGTTTTTACCGTCAAATACTGGAAGTTTGGTGTTCATGTTGCCGTTTCCGTTCATCTTCTACCTTGCACAGTACACTCAGATTTCTCACACAATGTCTCCCAACCCACTGAATTAAAATTCTGATCAGATTTTGTTCAAGATTCAACACGAATCTAAGAATCAAAATCAAACACGCAAGACCTCACGTTCACTCGTGTTTTCCCGTGTTCCCCAATGAATCTGAACCGGAGCTCTGATACCAATTGTTGGTGCAAAAGTAGAATAAATGATGAAAAGAGAAATATTCTATTAAGATAATGACGGCTACACACTACTACAAATAACAATGATTGCAGCCCTATTTATAAGCTAAAAACTAGGGTTACTAGAATAAGATAAAATACTAAAATACCCTCTAACAAACTTAGGGGCTAAGAAAATAGTACAACTAATTAAATATGAATTACTTCTAATACATATGTTCTTGTGTTTATGGCATAACTTTGTACCCTTGCATGCAATTTATATGTTAATGGATTGTCTTTTGTTATATTTATAAGGTTTAATATTTTTTCTGATCCCGTATGTTATCCTCGAGGTTCATTTTGGTCTCGTAACTCTAAAAAGGTCTATATTGGTCCCTTAATTCTTTAAAATGTATCATGTTAGTCCTTTTTGTCTAATTAGCGATGAAAAAACTCAGAAACTGGTCGCTAATTAAACCAAATAGAGTAACATGGTACATTTTGAAGAGTTAATGGACTAATATGGACCTTTTTAAAGTTAAGGGGGCAAAATGAACTATGGGATTAACATACATGACTAAAAAGAGTATTAAACATTTTTATAATACCCACTTTTAATATTATTTGTTGATTGATCATCGATAAATTAATGTGTGTTTTACTTTGTGAAAATAGTTTTGGAATACTTAAAGGCTTCAATTTAGGTATTGTAGTCAAGTTCCAGCTAGGGCTAGAGGTGGAACTATTAAACTCTTATATTCTTGTTAATTAATTTCTTAGCTTCAAATTGCGACTTACCAAGTACTTGAGTGATTTGTCTGAGTGGGTAATAATCTAATCACTAAGGATTTAGGAATGAACAATCTAGGGAATGAGTAATCACAACTAATAAATAAAGGGTAATGCTAATTTGTGCCTTAGGGGCACAAGTTAAAAAACTAATTTATAGAAAATTAGTATTGGAAAAAGCAATAAAAAAATTAATTCTATACTTTTATTTAAAATAAAGCACAATTTCAAGACAATATTTCTTCTTATAGTTCTTAACTTGTGCCCCTAGGGCACAAGTTAGCATTACCCATAAATAAATTAACTAGCAATGTCATATAAGGTGTGCAAGAAAAATCCTAGGTCAGTCTCATCCCTGAAAAACATTTATTATTAATTTTATAGATGTTTATTTCTCCTAATTCAACATTCAAACAAACCAACCAAAACCCTTTTTGTTCAACAAGTATAAAATTAAACGCATCACTAGTTTCGGTCTATGTGTTTGATATTTCGTGGTACTCACAACGTTATTACTTGTAGAAATATGGTATACATGTTAGATCGCACATCAGTGGTGTTGGGGATGAAATTGCTCTGAAGGGGTGTTAGCCGGGATAAAGATTATATTGATGGTTTTCCCATGAATAGAGTTCTTAAGGTTGTTGAGTTAATGCATCTTCTTCTACAATTACAAGATCCACAAAGTTATTTTCTTTTACTTTGATTGTGCGTGAATTTTGCCAAACTATTTTTTTGACCTAAAGACATGTCAATTGATTCACATGGAGGAGGTAGCTATTTGGTTTGATAAAAAAAGAGTTATGAGGGAAAGATGAAGACATTGTGGTTGGTTGAGGTCTTTTATTCATGAATTTTCAATTAAGGGTAACTTATTTACCAATTTGGGTTAGGGATTGATTTTGTATTCAACAATAAAGGTTGCATCATACGCTTTTGTGAATTCTTGAGCTCAACCTTAGGTGTTACAAGAGACAGAGGGATATGTAGTATGGACTCTAATTTTGATAAATATTTGGATGATCTTAGTCGTTGATTTTAGTTTTTGACCTTAACAGTTTTGCTAACAAGGACATTGTCCCCCTAAAGCTCAACGTCTTTTGGCTAGTACCTTTTGAAGTAAAATTGTGTAGGTCACGAAAGTAAAGTTTGATATAATCACAAGACAAAAGATGTTTAGACTAACAGATGTTCTAATATACATATGTGTGAGAGGAAAACATACATATGTTAATTTGGTTGGTTGAGGTTTCTCTACTTGTGAAATTTAGAATTTTACTATAAGACATGCAACTCTCAAAATCACATTAAAAATATGAAACATGAGAAATCATGATCCGATAAATAACTTGTTTCTATGCCATTTTTCTTTAGACACTTTTCAGTACTTATTCCCTGAGACAATGATCCTTTAAAAGAGTTATTGTATCTTCTATATTTATAAATGTAATTTTTAAAAAGATTAGTTATTCATAAAAAAATAAAATTAAAATAGTTGTACAGTTTATTGCATGTTTTCCGTCTACTTCTATGGAAATAATCACTCTAAAAAATCCTACAACTTATTCTTGTATTTTTGTGAGTTTTTTTTTACAAATTCTATCAAGGCATTCATCTCCTCGTAGATGTGAAATAATTGCCAAGTAATAATATATTAGTAATTAATAAACAAATAGTTGATATAGATGTATAATAATTGCCAAAGCAATAATATATTAGTAATTAATAAACAAATTATCAAGTTTAAAATAACTGATAAAGAAGTAAGATAAATCAACAATTTAAACAAAATATTTAAAATACTGGGAATTCGCACTATAAGATTAAGGAAGATCAATAATTTTAAAAAGTTAAGCAATTAAAGGTATAACTCTTTTGAGGAATGTTCTACTGCATACTTTACATAATTGAACAATAGTTAACGTTTAACAATTTAAAACAAAAAGCACCCATGGCCTAATGGATAAGGCGCTTGACTTCTAATCAAGCGATTGTGGGTTCGAGTCCCACTGGGTGTGTATTTTTTTTATTATATAGTTTTGCATTTTTTTTATTATAGTTTACTTACTCTAGTATCATTTTGTGTATTTTTTTTTTATTATATAGTTTTGCATTTTTTTTATTATAGTTTACTTACTCTAGTATCATTTTATTGCACCATCATAATTCAATGAATAATGAGCAACTTACTTCAACAAATTCTTAATTATATACCTAACCTACCCATGTTCCTAGTAACAGAAAAAGGGTAACTCAGCTACCCCAAAAGTCATCAAATATTATTATTTCTTGGCAGGGTTAGTTAGATAGATATGAAATCAGAGATTTTTTATATCTTAATTGATAGAATAACACATGTTTTAACTCAGCATAACAATAACACAATAGTACAATTTTATCACTAAGAAATCTCTACTTAGCATATATCTTCTCATACATTATCCTTTGTACTAGAAACCTTAATGTCTTGCTTCTCTTGCTCACTCGCAACAGAGATTTCTTCTGTGGAATTTGGTTCCTTTTTTAGCTCTGTCTCAAATTCCTTTGCTGCCTACAATATATCAAAATCTAATAAATAAAAAACTCACTAGCTTGCATTTGCACATAGAAATAATTATTGAAGTTACAAAATTTTATGCGATTATTTATAAAAAAATCTGTTATGAAACCTGTTGAAAGCTTTTGACAGTTTGACCGATGCTGCGACCGACTTCGGGCAATTTCTTGGGACCGAAAACAAGAGCAGCGACTCCTGCAATAACAACAAGCTCAGGCACGCCTAGACCGAAGAAGGCATTGCAGGTGAAACGCTTTGTTGTTCTGGTTTTGATTCTGGCTTTCTTCAAGAGAAATGAGGAAGTGTTGGAGTTGGAAGCTAAGAAGGATAAATTGGAATAGGATGAAGAGATTGGTAGCCTAGTTGGAATAACTGAAGATGAAGAAAGGGAAAGTGTTATCTCCATTTTTGGTTTAGATTCTATTTACTGGTTTCTGCTAAATGAGTGGATCACAATTATCAGTAAGATTGTTTGAGAAAAAGGGTGAAGTTGTGGATTGGGTGGGACTGTGTAAAGATTTTTAGTGGTTCACCCTATATTTTGTGATTGCTTGTATACCATATATTTTTTTATAACTAGTATTTTTCAGTTTTATTTTATTCAACTCCAATGATTTACAAGTAAGGTTGGACAACAAATCGGTTCGAGTGAGCCATTTATTTATTCATCGAAGAATCAGTAGATAGGTTCAAGTGAGCCCTTTATTTATTCATCTATTCATCGAAGAATCAATATATCTACGTATAGTCCAAATACAATAATTCTTCAAAGAATTTAAAAAATAATTTTGTTCTTATATTAAAGACCTAAACTAGGGCGAGTATAAAACTCATTAAGGGTAATGCAAAAAAATGTCTTCTATTACTTTTAAAGGAAAAAATGTACTTCCCTCTCATTATTGACCAAACATTTTGAAGGAACAAGTTAAGAGATTGTTAATCTATAAATGAGGGTAGGGTTTATTTTACCCAAAAGAAGATATGGAGTGCACTGATTGAGTACAGCATCATGTGCTCCATTAAATTGATTTGCAGTGTAACTAAGAAGAATATGACTTTACTTATAATACATAAATGAGTGTTCAAGAGTAATTTCTTGACTAAATCAACCACAATATGTGGCTATTTAATTACTGCTCTCCATTAGAAGGTCCACAAGAATCAACGCCACCACGAATCCGCTTCTGAAGATGTTCCAAGCTAGCCACCCGGTGCAACGGAGGAGCTGTTTGACCCACCTTGTTACCACCACCTACAACTGCTGCATTATTCTGCTGGACGTTTTCGATTGAAGAAATTTCTGCCAACCCGCTGTTGACTCTCATTTCGTGACACGGCATAGGATTATTAGACGTGGGTTGATAGAAGTGATGATGTGGATCGTCTTGTACAGGCACTGCTGCATCTGCTGAATTGTCTGAAGGGCTTCCATCAAATGATGGCATGCCCATTGATGATATATCAGGCATGACGTGAAACATCGGATTCAATCCTGTAATTCTTTTGACGGTTTCTTCAGCCATCTTCACCTAATTGAGAAAATAATATGATTTGAAACCAGAAACATGTCAGATCTTTGTCATTACAAATCAATAATATTACTTTCATTTTAAGCTATATAAGACAAGGTCAAACCACTAGCTTATAGCAAAATACTTCGAATGATATAAATTGAGCGGTTTGTCACAGCGATTTTTAATCAACCCATGCAAATACAAGATGCAGGGATTTACCTTTGCTCTCAAGGTTTCAACATCAGCTTTCAGTACTCTGTTGTCAACAGCAGAATCAGTGTACTTTTGGCTCACATCAGTGAGGCGCTTTACCAAGGTAGAATTTTCACCTCTTAATTGAGAAACCTAAGATACAAATATATGGTCAGAAGACATGAAAATCTCTATGGAAGAACTAATAAACTAACAGAAGAATTGAAGAGGGAGGAGAAGAACCCAGATCTAAAATAAAATACACACACCTGTGTTTCCAAATCAGTTAAATGAGCCTGCTTTCTTCGTCTTGAGCGTCTGGCTGACTCTCTATTGGAAAGCATCCTGACAGATAGATGTCATTAGACATTGAATTAACCGAGGTAGAATGTGTCCTCAAATTCAACAAATAAGTGTTTCATAACAAAAAATATAAATTAGCAGATGCATAATCACTTCAATTGAAATGCAACATCCTAATCTTAGTTTGAGAGGGGGAAAAAAAGAAGCTCAAAAGGAAAATTGATGCAACCACATCAACAATTTGCTCATAGTTGTGAAAAAGAAAAATAAGTTATTCTCAGTGGTTGGATACAATTTTTAGGCAGGCCTGTCACTCATTTATTTAGCACAAAAGAGCGAGGAAGTCATACTCGGTAAAACAAACTTCTAGAGCCTTATGGAGCCAATTAGATGATTTTCCAAATCGTTAATTCCTCAATGTACAGTATATAACAGAAAAAAACATTTCCAATGACAAAATCAGTAAATATTGAGAGAAATGATACCTCCTTACTCGTTTTACATCAGCTGGGTCTGTGTTGTCATTCATATCTGTCTCTCCCTCAGCTTCATCATCATCGGACAGTTCTCTTGATGATCCACTTGTTGATGGCCTAATTGCAACAACGGTTTTTTTCTGCACAGGAGGTATGGAAGGGATCGCAGGTGATACTTTGGCATCTTTATCTTGTAATATAGGTGGATCGTTTCCAGAAGGAGCAGATCCTACATAATTCAATAAGGGTTATTCATATATAGCCCTAAAGCTGCTCAATAAATTACTCAACGGGTCATTAAAAGAGAATAAAAGCTTTTGATTAAAACAAACTTGTAAACATAGATGATGCATTCACCCTACTTATGTGAATAATAACAGTAGTTGCTAATTTTTATTTTATATTAAGATATTAGCATTCAGCTACCTCTAAGTTATTCGTGGAGCCGGTCCAGTGCAGTCATTAATTTTTTTCATAGATGTGATCCACTTCCTTAAATTAATCTTGGTTTTCATATATGCAAAAATAGTTATCGATTCAAACCTTCAAAAACGGGCTGAGGACCAACTTGAGAAGGATTAGACGACTGTGAACCATTCTCAGGAAAAGAGGCTAGATCTTGAGATTTAGGCAAAGATCCCTATTGCAATGGGTAAGAAACAAAAATTACATACATACATGATTCTCAGTGAGAAAAGATAAGCAAAACAGAAGCTGGCTAACTCAATTTTCAAACCATGTAAAGTAATAGATCATACAATACTATAAAGTAAAAGCAATTTGAAAGAGTAGGATTGAGATACATAATTGCACATGACCAAAAGTAAATGCAAGGCATGTGATATACAGACTAAGGATGTACATAAGCATACAACAACTATCAAGTCTTATCTCTCTAAGTGGAATCGACTACATGGATCAACTTTCGTCATAATCTTCTGTCCAAGACCATACTTCTATCCAAATCGTTAATCTTGAGATATTTCATAATAACTTCTCGAAATGCACACAAACATATATTTTAAAAATAAGCATTGAAACTGCAATCAGCTAAATTAGAAGAACAGAAAAATGAAAACTAGAAATAATCAGAAGAATTAGAACCAATAATGCAAAAGAATAAAAGAAATGAATTTTTCTCAACACCAGCTACCAAATCATGAATAAAACAAACCAAGACAGATCCAAATTCCAATCTAAATAATTAGAATGGTTTCACATTGTAAAGGGGAAAAACGAAAATACCCTAGTCATGGCAACCGCAGCGCAGGCAAGATTAAGCTTACTCTTCAGCACAGCCCGATATTCCTCGGAATCAACGGCCACCACCGGAGGAGGAGGATGTGGATGTCCATTGGACAAAACTGCGGCGTCCCTTGGTGCGATGGTGGTGGGTTTAGACTGAGGGTCCACATCAGCAACAGAGGAAGAAGAAGGTGGAGATGTGGCAGAAACCGAAGCTTCTTGGAGGAAGCGTTGAAAAGCCCACTCGGAAGCACTGCGGCTCATCTTGGAGGATTCATCGGCGCCGGAGACGTGAATCGGCGGTGACCAGAAGTGGTCGGGGATTTCATCAACAGAGAATACCCTATCCATGGTGTTTGTGATTCTGTGTCTCTGATCAATTGATTGAATGTGTGTATGTGACGATGGTGGCGACTATAATCTACGGAAAACGAGGTGTAGGGGTATATCGGTCAAAAAAACAACAACTAAATGTTATTATTTTAATTTTTACAGCAAAATATATGGTTAAGTCTAGGGTGAGACTTCAATCAATTTTCTCACCACTCGTACTCTAATCAATAACTAATAGATTAAATGAATAGTTTAGATTTAATATAATTAAAATGAAAACTAGTAAAATTAATTATAGCTAATTTTTTTTACACAAATGTTAAAAATATTCTTACTTTTCGAAAGAAGTTTCTTCCCATAACAATTTGTTTACCAAAAACAAGTTTTAATTACAAACTAATTGGACTGCCGACTTCACAAAACCCTGAGGTTGTCGGATAGGATTCTAAGGCTAAGATTCATTCAAATCAAAACCAAGAAAAAATTTCGGTAAAGTTTCTAGTTCTATAATAATTATTATTCTCGTTTAATTTTGATCATTGGCTCTCTTTTCAGTTTAGATACATGTGAATTGAATGCGTTTTTTGTATCCGTGGATTGTAATAATGATAATGTTTTTATATTTTTGATGTTAATATTTGATTTTGATTGTGTTGAATTTCACTGGTATTGTTATGATATTTTGCAATTTGCAATATCAGAATCTCTCACTCTGAGATTGAAAATTTAACGAGAGATTAGGAAGCAAATTCTCTCCGCACATTTTCGTTTCTCACCAGCCACCGCTAGCTACTAAGTAGTACACACTGTTTTTCCTACTTGTTCATTGATTACCACTTTTAATCTGGTTTTTGTTTTCATTTCAATTTGGAAAATTCTGAGTTTTAACTTGTTGGTGGTTTGGATTTTTGAATGTTATTAAGAATTGATTCTTATTCAAGTTATCTACATGTGTTATTAAATTAGTAAGTGAGAATGGTGATGATTTCAATAACCATATGAAACAAGTTGCTGCTGATATCCGAAAGATGGAAGAAAAAAGGGGCTTACATGATGGTGGAGCCACAAATTCAAGTGAAACTGTCCATGAGACATTGAAGGATCATGCTCTAGCTAGAACTAAAGGATGTGTTGGGGAATCTTCAACACGTCAGAAAAAAGGAAGCGGAGTCAATGTTCTACTTGCAGAAAATTCGGGCATAATAAGCAAACATGTTCAATACCTCGACACATTCGTCACACGGAGATCTTCACAACATTGAATTCAGTGATGACTCTGTAAGCAATTTCTGTAATGTTGTTATTTAATGGTATCATTGTTATAATTATATATGGTTCTTGCA